CCCAGCAAAGTACCTATCTCTCGACCAGATCCTTCAGTAACGTGTAGAAGAAGGAAGCGCTGATGTGTAAGACGGAATTTCTGTCTCCGCCCCTTCGTTGACTTGTACTGCGTCATCAAGCCTAAGCATGTCTCGGCGAATTCGGTTCACATTCAGGGAGAACGCTCACGACCTAACCGTCGCAAAATTCCTTCAATTTAATATCTTTAATTCCGTTCCACTCTATGGTGCATGTCTTTAGATTTGCTTTATCGGCGAAACGACTGGCAAGCCCAAAGAGGATTCGGGAAAAATAACCTAGTTTATACACTAAAATCGGCGAAGTTCGGCTTGATAGGGGCATTTTGCTAGGGTCCCATCGATCACTGCGGATGCGTTCTGTATGGTAGAGACATGTGAATTCCCGTAAAGGTGTGCAAAAGCAGGGTCTCCGACTACACTCAACAAGGATCACCAGGTTTCACCAAGGTGTGGTGCGTAAATAATGGGCACTATCAACAGAAGCTAGTGAAGTGCAAAATGCCCCTTCCAAGCTAACAGTGTCCAGCAAGTTTTGAAAAAATTGTGATCGGTTAACGAATAACATTTGTTTTGCAGGACAATTCCTGGTACGGGTCCACAGATGCATTCCACGGGTTCGCATGTTTCAATGATGATAACATGCAGACATATTTGAATCGCCCTGATGTTATGACAGCACTTCATGCGAAATTGGTTCATCGTAGTCAATGGACGGATTGCAGGTGATTGCCGTGTAATAAAGAATAAAAATATAAAGTCTTCGCCGTTAGTCAATCCCTTTTTGGTGGGGCACGCGAAGGAGGCGCGTCGTCGCGACGGGGATTTTTTTTTACATCCCTGCCCCCGCTCCTTAATTTCCCAACTGCGCGGTGGAAAAGAGCATCTGAGCGATTATCCGTCATTACACACAGTGATGAGTCCTGCCTACCTTGTGACAAACCCCGACCCCATCCAACTCGTGGGATTTTTTCCTTGCCCCACTACGGTGAGTAATCGCAAAGATTACACCGTATACTACTGTAACTTCTGATGGCCACTGCGCCCCACTCACTGTGAAGCCGTGCTAGTAGAACATATTT